CTGAAAGTATATATATATTGTGGTGGCCACATCCAAGACTTTTACTCCAGTCAGCAGCCCAGTGTGACCACCATCACCACCACCACCTCCTCCGCCATCACCAGCAGCACTACCACCACCAGCACCACCACTATCACCACCACCACCACCAGCACCACCATCACCACCACCATCAGCACCACCACGGCAGGATGGACTGTGTCGCTCGTCTGGTGAGGCTTCCACCTTCAGTACATTACTCCTGCCTGTCCTCACCAACAATTTACGGGCTCACCATAGCCCATGCTACATGGACACTTGGCTTTCAGTAGCTAAATCTAGATCATCATCACCACCACCAATATACATGCACCAAACACTATGCAAGTCACACATACCTCAGTTACATGTAATCCACGCCAGAGTCCTATACAGCTGATGTATATCATCTTAAATTCACTTAAATTCATAAAAAAACACGGAAACAGCGTCGTAGATATAGGCCTATCCTCACTACTTTTAAAATATAATATAATTTTTTTCCTGGATTATTATTTCCTGGACTAGCAATTATTTGCTAATTGCTTATACCTGCAAAGTATAAAAATTAGCCAATATTACAACAAACTTTGCTTTTGTGACCAGGACTCTACGTGGCATTTTGTAATTTATCTCTTTTCCAAAACATTCCAGAGATTCAGAGCTGAGCAATCTTGAAGTAACTTCTAGAACTTTCTAGTAATATAAATAAATAAGTCGTATAAATACCGAGGCCTTAAGCCCACCTGTTCAGTTTAGTTTCAACTGTCTAAGTGGAAGTATGACAGGTTCTGTTGGGAGGTCACCAGAGGCCTCAAAATGGCAGCATTCCTGTTGGACCTCCAAGGCAGTTTGACCAAGTTTCCTTGTTGTCTTTCCCTTTGGGAGGGCAGAGGAACCAAGGCGCACTACCACAAGCGGGATTGGCCACAGGGGACCAAGTTCTCTGTTGGGTAGGAACTACGTCAAGTAGGAGCCACTGGTGGAACCCCAGAAGGTGTTGTTGAAGCTCACTAGAAATGGGAAAGTGGCTTGGAGCAGCTTTGTCACTGTGGCTCAGGGCTTCCTTTCAGCCAATCACAAGGCTGAAACTATGTGGAACTGGTTGGGAGACTAGTGAAGAACTAGGGCACAATGGGCTGCTGGATGTCCCTCAAAGTCTTCATCCTTGATACTCGTCTTGATCATTTCAATAACAAGGAAACGTTCTCGAATGAACAAGGCGAGTGTTTTCACCAGGATATGCTGAACTTTGAACGCCGGAACCCAACGACAAGAACACTATCGGAGACCGTTTCGGGACTCGCTCGTCAAAGGGATTTGCAATATTTATAATATAATCGGAAATATTGAAAACTACTCACTTCTAAACCTTAGGTGGCCTTTTTGTATAAATTTAGTATAAATACATGTAAACTTCGATTTACATGTTATTTCTGAGAGAACGAAAATTCGAAAATTCCTTCTCTTTGTATTGAAAATAGGTAAGTTAAAAATTATAGCTATCCTGGCCACAAAAATGCAAAGTTTTAAGGTAAATAATAGCTATCGTCTAAACTTTTTAGACATATACAATTAAAACTAAGAGATCAGCCGGGATGTGAAGGCTGGCAGAGTACAGAGTAAATAAAAACTAGAGTAGAGACCTGCTCACAACATGCATGATACTTGGGCCACGGTAACAAAGACAGGGAGAGAGTGGTGTGGGAATTAAGAGATCGAGAGGACACACAAATTGAATATTCCATTTGAGCAAGATAGACGCAAGTAACAATGAATGTTGCAATATGTATGCAAGGAAGGTGTGGAGGCGAATTTGGATTTAAGGATTATATAATATAGGGATAGTTATTTTTTCTACCACACACGTGGCCATACAATGCTAAACAACACATATACATTTTCTTCTGTCCTATATTGACAAGGTTACAGCTCTATTAGACAACATACTTCAGCGAGTTATTGAGCACTTTACTACAGATGACTGAAGAGCGTTAACAATGCTTACCCACAGACACACACACACACACACACACACACACACACACACACACACACACACACACACACACACACATCTTAGTAGTTTCAAAGCATTATATGACAAAGAGTGCTGGGAAGACGGGACACCACGAGCGTAGCTCTCATCCTGTAACTACACTTAGGTAATCCTGTAACTACACACTTCCTACATAGAGGGGTTAGAGATCAGTCAGGCAACATATAGTGTAATGGGTTACTGAGCAGTTTAGAGGAGTCATCACAGAGGACGCCTGAGAGCCACGAGGCGCGTCAACCCACCGTGCGGTGTTGGGGCGTCTTACTCTACCGCCCACCTGCCAGTGTCTCCACCTGTTCCCCTTATACAACTTTCACCTGAAATTCACAGGTAAATTTACTGGCTTGTTGAGCAGGATTCACCAAGCTGGAACAGCCTCAGATGATGAGGGGGGATAGGAGGGAGAGATATAACAGGAGGGGGTGAGGAATTGGAATTGTTATTTTATGGAAGGGGGAGGGAAATTAGGCAAAACGAGATCATTAATGTTGACCTATAATTTGCCTCCTGATACAAGGCCTCACCCATACCCCATTCCTCAGACAGTAACGGCGGCCGCGACAGTGCTCCTCTTCACTTCCCCCATCACCAACGCAGAAGAATTCATGCCAGTGGTTCTTCCCCCCGTCTATACCGCCGGGCGGCCACCACCTACACCCATCAAACACCCGTCATTCCTCCCACTGATCCCCCCTCCACCTCCTCTTCCTCCTACGCCGCCCCTTCCATCACACCAAAGCCGTCCTCCACCCATCTATCTCTCTACGCTGGAGCCCTTATTTCGTCCTGACAAGACAGACTTCCTTACTCCCTACACGCCTCCCACGACCATAGGCCCTCACGGCCACACTCACACACCCACGATTGTCACTACCTTCAAGCCTCCAGTGACCCACCAGGCTCCAATAACCCCCACGCCAACAACAGCCCACAGACCTCCAACATCTCCCAAGCCTCCAACAGCCCACAAGCCCCCAACAGCCCACCGACCTCAGGCAGCCCACAAGCCCCCAACAGCCCACCGACCTCCAGCAGCCCACAAGCCCCCAACAGCCCACCGACCTCCAGCAGCCCACAAGCCCCCAACAGCCCACCGACCTCCAACAGCCCACAAGCCCCCAACAGCCCACCAACCTCCAACAGCCCACAAGCCCCCAACAGCCCACCGACCTCCAACAGCCCACAAGCCCCCAATAGCCCACCGACCTCCAACAGCCAACAAGCCCCCAACAGCCCACCGACCTCCAACAGCCCACAAGCCCCCAACAGCCCACCGACCTCCAACAGCCCACAAGCCCCCAACAGCCCACCGACCTCCAACAGCCCATAAAGCTCCAACAACCCACCGGCCACCACCATTCCAACGGCCCCCAACAGCCCACAAGCCCCCAACAGCCCAACGGCCACCATCGGGCTACGCAGCGGCCGACACCACACCTCACCACAACAACGAGGTATGGAACAACGACTGGTCCAAGAAACTATAATGACGACCGGACAGCTAACAGACCTGACCGAAACATTTGTAACTGAACTAAACAGTGGCTATAAAAGGCTACGATATCTGGGGCTACACACTTTACAGTGGTTTAAGTGGTCACTATCAGACGCCTGGTTAAGATATCTGACGCCAAACACTTAAGACAGAGTTAAGTAATCACTTTCCTTTACCCGACTCGTTAATAGTACCTAACATCAGATGTAGCCAGCTAATATGTGCCTAATTAATCGTTAGTTTTGCTGTATAAAAACTTGTAATTTATTGATTTATGATTTATTGACTGGACCAACTATTAAAAAAAGTTATAATGACAATTACTTGACATTTTTTGCAACCTTCCGTCAGACCAGGAACTGGTGAGACCTTATGGATGTGTAAACTGGTTTATATACCTGCTACACCTCTCAGATTACATACAACACCTGCCAAAGTTTACCTGGTACACCTGCCAAAGTTTGATTATTATATACACACGTTTACGCAATACACATCCCTTAATATGTATACTTACTACGCATACCAAAGTTTGTATACCTACTTCAACCACTAAAACTTTGTATACGCTTAACCTCCGCACCTCCAATAACCTGACTGTTGGACTATGTATTATGATGAATACAGAAATGTATTACCGTTCATTGATGATATACATAATTATTTCCACATACAAACTTGTGATACTTTAGTACTAAAGGGTTGACGAGCTCGTAACACGAGCACTGACTGTGGTGATGGTGTATTTAGCGACTTTATTGATGTCATTACTAACATACGATACCACCATCAATGCTGCGGACACCATCATTGCTCATGACACCACCACTGCTCATGACACCACCACTGCTCATGACACCACTGCTCATGACACTCGCAATGACTCCCTTTCCCTCCATCCCCCGTAACTCCCTTTGCCTTGTTTCCTCCCAGTCACTAACTGTCTTGCCATCACTACCCCCCCTCCCTTCTCCCCCTCCCCCCCCTCCCTTCTCCCCCTCCCCTCCACTCACTATAGCTCCCTATCCGTCCTTTGCCACTTGGACTGGACGGTAGAGCGACAGTCTCGCGTCATGCGGGTCGGCGTTCAATCCCCGACCGTCCAAGTGGTTGGGCACCATTCCTTTTCCCCCGTCCCATCCCAAATCCTTATCCTGACCCCCTTCCCAGTGCTATATAGTCGTAATGGCTTGGCGCTTTCCCCCCCTGATAATTCCCTCCCTCCCTCTCCCTCACTCGAGGGAGACGCGAGCACCAACATTAACTTGACGTACGCCTTCCCCCCAGCAGAAGAGCAAGCGGTACTCCTTCAAGTACGACGTAGAGGGCGTCGCCAGCAGCTTCTCCCACTCGGAGTCGCACGACGGACGCACAGCTACTGGGGCCTTCAGTCTCCGTCTGCCGGGCGGCCACCACACCCTCACCTACGTCGCTGGGTGATCCCACACACCCTCACCCACGTGATGGGTGACCCCCCACATCCTCACCCACGTGCTGGGTGACCCCACACATCCTCACCCACGTGCTGGGTGACCCCACACCCTCACCCACGTGCTGGGTGACCACAGACACCCTCACCCACCTCGCTGGATGACCAGAGCACTCCGTACTGTTGACTTACCTGCTTGATGGAGTTCTGGGAGTTCTTCTACTCCCCAAGCCCGGCCTGAGGCCAGGCTTGGCTTGCCACAACGTGCAAAATAGTAACTAACCAGAAGAGTAGGACGCCCCCAACCTAACCTAACCTACCGAAGCATAGAAAACGGGGATATATTCGTGGTCAGTTACACTTCATAATACATTGTAATTTGTACGTTGGAGCCCCCATAACGTTCAAAATGCGACGCATGAGTTGAGAGGAAGTGTGGCTGGCCCTAATCGTGTACAAGAAACAGCTCGGTATAAATGCATCGTTAAAACATATAAAGCAACGTAATTTTGACGTTTATTTAGGCATCGGCCTCGATGGGTTAGGTGGGTTGCTTGGGTTCGCAAGTTTCTTGTTAAGGCGAAACAGCTGTAATTGTTACGGAGTGGAAACTACAGAGCGCGGACTGGACTGCAAGAGTTATATTTCCATTCCAGAAGTTTAGGCTGCTGTCATAATATTATTTAATGTATATAAATTAAATATACATCTTTAATGTATATAAATTAAATATACATATAAATTATATATACATATAAATTAAATGTACATCTTCATTCTAAGTTTAAGGAGCAAATTCTGGTTTACTAGTCACAACTAGATCAGTTTTGTAAGATAACACTTGTGAATAAATTGGTCTGCGCCATAAGTCTGAGTATGTACTATTATATCTTACTAACATCCATCAGTCTCCCGAGACTGATGGATGCCTACTACTACTAAGTCTGAATGAGTACTATCACACCTCACCATACATTCTAGACAAACAAAATTATATGTATATCTAACCCTGACCATGGAACACGAGTGTGAGTATGTGTGTGTGTGTGTGTGTGTGTGTGTGTGTGTGTGTGTGTGTGTGTGTGTGTGTGTGTGTGTGTGTGTGTGTGTGTGTGTGTGTGTGTGTGTGTGCGCGCGCGCGCGCGCGTATACATAAATTGTCAAATCTCTCTGCAGAAAAAGAGTTAATAAATCTCTGCCTCGTGTAAGATATAAATACAGAACAAAAAATATGGTTAGATCCTCGGTGATAATTTGACTCTCAAGCAAGAGCAGCCGTTAAGATATAAATGCCATTTTAACATGCATCAGAATGCGAGCAGCGGCATCAAACAGCGTGGTTGACCAGACTACCAACCAAGTAGTCTGGGGGAGAGAGAGACAGACAGGAGATCAGGCACCCGCGACACTGACTCTCAGAACTACCTCAAGGTAACCTCAAATTATGCGTATGTAAAGAGGCAAGACATAAGATGGAAAACAGTCACAGAAATAGGCAGACTTCAGACATGCTGGTAAAGGCTGCAACTTTGCATGGCAAAGGTAAAGGAGGCAACTTTGCATGGCAAAGGTAAAGCTACAACTTTGTAACAACAACACATAAGGCACAGATCGAACCCCACACTGCATTCATTCCCATTGAACGTGAGAGGAATGACTGCATTCATTCCCATTGAACGTGAGAGGAATGACTGCATTCATTCCCAGTGAATGTGAGAGGAATGACTGCATTCATTCCCATTGAACGTGAGAGGAATGACTGCATTCATTCCCAGTGAACGTGAGAGGAATGACTGCATTCATTCCCAGTGAACGTGAGAGGAATGACTGTATTCATTCCCAGTGAACGTGAGTGGAATGACTGCATTCATTCCCCGTGAACGTGAGAGGAATGAAGACCACGAGCAGGAGAGAAGTACAGAGACAATGTGGCGGGATATGTGATGAGAAAGATAATGGGAAAAGCGACGGGAGGGAAGCTAAATCAAGACACGAGGAAAAGATCCATGCCAGTAGGTTATCTTGAGATGATTTCGGGGCTTTAGTGTCCCCGCGGCCCGGTCCTCGACCAGGCCTCCACCCCCAGGAAGCAGCCTGTGACAGCTGACTGACACCCAGGTATCTATTTTACTGCTAGGTAACAGGGGCATAGGGTGAAAGAAACTCTGCCCATTGTTTCTCGCCAGCGCCTGGGATCGAACCCAGGACCACAGGATCACAAGTCCAGTGTGCTGTCCGCTCGGCCAACCTAGCTCCCCGGCTAGGTTACCACAAACACCACACACTACCTAGTAATTCCGGAGAGAAACCATGACAACGGGTCAATATGCTTGATCATTAACAACACTGCTAAGTCCCCTCATACTGGCGTCCTTATACCGACTCATCACCGACAACTGTTTTCTCATTGATTTATATCTATTTTATCTCGCTCCATCTCTCATCCTCACTTCCTTTCCATTTCTTAACCTCTTTACGTCTCCTCATCTCTGTCTCCCACTCCCCCAGCAATCTCTCAATTTCGTATCCCTTCTTCCCCCCAATCTCTCCTTCACGCCATCTGTCTCTCCCTAAATCTCTTAACCCCCACTGTCTCTTTCCTACATCCCTCTCTCCCCTTACCCCCCTCAATCTCCCTCCCATGTGAATAATAAGCAGAGGTAGCCATAGCAACGGTGCGCACTTGCTGGAGTCTGGCATCAACCCCCCCTCACTCTTGACACCATGAACTCTGGTGTCAAGTAACCCTCTCCTGAACAGTCAAGTAACCCTCTCCTGAACAGTCAAGTAACCACCTCCTGAACAGTCAAGTAACCACCTCCTGAACAGTCAAGTAACCCTCTCCTGAACAGTCAAGTAACCCTCTCCTGAACAGTCAAGTAACCCTCTCCTGAACAGTCAAGTAACCCTCTCCTGAACAGTCAACTAACCCTCTCCTGAACAGTCAAGTAACCCTCTCCTGAACAGTCAAGTAACCCTCTCCTGAACAGTCAAGTAACCCTCTCCTGAACAGTCAAGTAACCCTCTCCTGAACAGTCAAGTAACCCTCTCCTGAACAGTCAAGTAACCCTCTCCTGAACAGTCAAGTAACCCTCTCCTGAACAGTCAAGTAACCCTCTCCTGAACAGTCAAGTAACCCTCTCCTGAACAGTCAAGTAACCATCTCCTGAACAGTCAAGTAACCCTCTCCTGAACAGTCAAGTAACCATCTCCTGAACAGTCGAGGAACATCTACGAACACACACAAAGGCCTACTTAAATATACATATCCTACGTAACTCAAGATATCATTGATACTTTTTTCACAGCATCGTATACGATATAAAAATCAAATTACACAAAGATTTCAAGAAACATAAGTACTATAGGCGAAGATTAATACAATTGTTTACGAAATGTACATAGGTGTGTTTCTGAACGTTCTAAAATTATTCATTCTAGGATGTAAGGTACTGTCCAGCTCCTATTCTAGGATGACATGGTATTGTCCCAGCCTTATCATAGGATTGAACAGTATTGTCCAAGCCGTATCCTAGGATGTCGTAGTATTGGCTGAACCCAATCTTCGAGGAGATGAACATTTACCAAATCATATGTCGGAAATTTCCAACAACATTACTAACTTAAAAATATAATATGCCGAAAATTATATTGCTGCTGGTTTTGTATTAATTAAGACATGTAGTTACTCATTCCGAGAAACTGCATGCGTGGCAATTTCATAGAAAATGAGAATTACACAGCCGCGTTACCAAAATTAAATTCACGAGCTAATAATACTATAAATTAATCTTAAAAACAACAGTCTTTGGACTGCAAACATCATAAAAACCTTTCCCAAGATCGAACTTAATTATCAGGACTAAAATAAACTAAATATAAATCATCTTTCCACTTCTTGATTGAAACGCATCTGGGGACGACGCCGATGCGTGCGAGCAACCCGTCCTCTTAAAATGAACGTCGCTTTTGGCCGTTTGCCCGTATGGCCGCATATAGACGTAATTTGAAAATGAAAAAAAAAATTAAAATAAATTTTGGATTTTTTTTTTCAACAACAGTAAGTTAAGGGTCCTCTGATAGGTTAGGTGGGCAGGAAATCTTAAAGTTTCAAAATGGTATGAAAGACGTTAATGGAAAGTTTCCTTTTCTAAGCTTGCCGAGTAAGCCGGACGACTCAAACAGAAAACGGAACAATACGTCACTTTTGTGAGTCGATTTCATTTCAAATTACGTCCAAATTTGGTCATAGCGCCGCGCATACGAGCCAAAAGTGACGTTATTTTTAAGAGGACGGGTTGAGCACGAGAGAGAGAGGATGATGGAAGGGAGGAATAACTATTTTAAACCTGGGACGGTCAAACGCATAGTAATAATATATTTAGGAACAGTACATACATAGTTGCAGCGTTACAGTACAAACATCCTGTTAGATTTAAAGATAGAGGTAGTACATACAATACCTAAAGCCACTAGTACACGCATAGCGTTTCGGGCAAGCGTATAGGGTTGTCATCTAGAGTATTCGTGAACTACAAGTTATTCCCAGGAGTTGTGCAGCACAAAACGACCCCATTGTTTCCTGGGAACAGTATTTGATTGGATTAGACCTCTATCATTTATTAATATGCTGTAGCGGTTATATGCCGTATAATGAATAACGGAGTGAGTATATTTGATATCATCCTTTATTTCAGAATTTAATATATTCATATATAAATTGAATATTTTATGTGTAGTAGATTTTACGGTGTAACAACTCGTTGGCAGGTAAATTGAGAAGAGGAGTTACTAATGTGACAACACGTCCTCGCTTACACACATCCAAGCTTATTCTAGCAGCCCGTACTCTAAACAAACAGCCCGTCCTCTAAACAAACAGCCCGTCCTCCAAACAAACAGCCCGTCCTCCAAACAAACGGCCCGTCCTCCAAACAAACAGCCCGTCCTCCAAACAAACAGCCCGTCCTCCAAACAAACGGCCCGTCCTCCAAACAAA